AGAGCACCCCAGAGCGGCCCTGGAGCTCCCAGACTGCCCCAGACAGCTCCCAGAAGTCCTTGGGGACTTCGGCAAGCCCTTCCAAGAAAGCCCAGATAGCCCCAACGTGGCCCAAGATGGGTTCGAGATCGCAAATCCACAGCCCAATCGGCTTCCAAGAGGCCTCAAGAGAGCTCCGAGAAGCATCTCGAGAGAGCCCGAAGAGGCTCAAATCTTTGATTTCCATTGATTTTTCCGATGTTTTTCGGTGTCTCGCGTTTTCGACCTCCCGGCGCTCCACGACAGCCGACGACGCCCCCAAGACCACCGAAAAGGCTTCCAACAGAGCCCCAAGACTGCCCCAGGGAGCCCGAAAATTGGCCAGGACGAGCCTCAGACGGCCCAAGAGAGCCACAGGACAGGCCCAAGCTGGGCTCCAGAGCGGGAGCGGGAGGCCCCAAGGCGGCCCTGATGGCCCCAACGTGGCCCTAGATGGGCCCAACACGGCCAATACACAGCCCAAGAGCCCTCCAAAATGTATGTATGTGTTCATATATGTAGGTTTATGCATACACACATACACACATGTATATATGTACACATACATATATATATGTATGTATGTATGTATGTATGTATGTATGTATGTATGTCTGTCTGTCTGTATGTATGTATGTATGTATGTATGTATATATATATATAGATATCTGTATATATATATATATATATATATATATTCCTCTTCCTATATTTTTACGTGCCCGCGCGGGGGGAAAACCTGTCCCCCCCCAAACCAGACTCCCGGGATCTGGGGCTTTGGGGCCCTTCGGACGGGCCTCGAAGCGGCCCCCCGGGCCTCGCAGGGCGTTTTGCCAAGCCTTCGCAGCACACCTAGGGCGATCAGGGGGGTCATCGGAGACGTCCCACAGAACCTCAAGACAGCACAAGAGCGCTCCACGAAGCCGTCATACCCCGAAAGATCGCTCCAAAACGTACCAAAAGACCTCCAAGAGCACCCCCAAGAAGGCCCCAAAAGGGACAACTCATTGATTTAATGTAGGTTTTTGGTGAATTGGGGGTTCTCCTCTTTTCGGCTTCCCGACGCTCCAAGACAGCGAGCGGTGTTCTGGGTGTCCGAAGTCGCCTGGGAGACTCCAAAAGCGCCCCGCAACCATCCGAAAGGGCTTCCGGGCAGTCCAAGAGAGCCTCAAAACGACACAACAGGGGTCCAAAATGGCCCTAAGAGAGCCCCATGGCGGCCCAAGATGGCCCCAAGACACCCTCCGAAGCATTCCAAATCGTTCAGGGAGACCGCGGTTAGAGGCAGGTTGGCCTTAGGAAGCCCCAGTGGCCCCAGATCACGCCCAGGAGGCCTCCAGACGGCTTTAAGAAAGCTTGAGAACTTTGGTGAGGCCCCCAGAGGCTCTCCAAGGAGGAGCCTCCGCAAAAAGAGCTGAGGAGGATGGGGAGAATGCCCAGGGTATGGCGAGAATGAGGAAACATAAGCATGGAGGAAGGATAACGAACAACACCATTATAACGGCGATGCCAGAAAAGGCAGCAATGAGTTATCGCTAAATTGTCCGTTTGACCTTCCTGCCATTTCCGCCTGCATACCAATCTTCAAGGACCAAGGTGCATGGCGCGAAGCGCCACTGCAGTCTTTTATGTATGTACGTATGTATGCATGCATGCATGCATGTATGTATGCATGTATGTATGTGTATGTATGTATGTATATATATATATATATATATATGTGTGTGTGTGTGTGTATGTATGTATGTATGTACGCATGTATGTACGTATGTATGTATGTATGTATGTATGTATGCATGTGTGTATGTCTGTGTGCATGTGTGTATGTATGTATGGATGGATGGACGGATGGATGGATGTGTGTATGTGTATGTATGTATGTATGTATGTATGTATGTATGTATGTATGTATGTATGTATGTATGTATGTATGTGTGTGTATGTATGTATGTATGTATGTATGTATGTATGTATGTATGTATGTATGTATGTATGTATGTATGTATGTATGTGTGTATGTGTGTGCACGTATGTATAGATGTATGTATACATGCATGCATGCATGTATGCATGCATGTGTGTATGTATGCATGTATGCATGTATGCATGTATGTAATGTAATGTAATGTAATGTATTGTAATGTAATGTAATGTAATGTAATGTAATGTAATGTAATGTAATGTAATGTAATGTAATGTAATGTAATATACATATAAGCGGGGATCGGGCCCGGGGGCCCGGGAGCCACGACCTCGACCACAAATGTGTGCCACGGGGGCCCCCGGGGGCCCCAAGGCGGGCCAAGCAGCTCCAAGAGGCCGCCAGGATGCTCCAAGAGGGCCCCGAGACGCCCGAAGATCGCTCCAAGACGCCCAAGAAGGCCCCAAGACGTCCCAAGAGCGCCTCCAAGGCGCCCAAGAAACCTCCAAGAGGCTTCCCAAGAGAGACCACGGAAGCAAGCTCATTGTTACCTAACAGCGAAGACTGATAGGTTTCTAGTGGTCTCAAAAGAGAGCAGCAGATGACTCCACAGGGGGGTCTGGGGGTCCGGGGGGTGCCGAACTCGTGTAATCGCTTTTCCAACAGTCACACACTTCGTGCTTCTTCGACCTCCCAGAACTCCATTCCCGGGCCACGTTCTGAATGCCCGGAGCCAACTGTAGGCCACTTCGTGCTCTTCGAGTTCCCAGAACTCCATTCCCGGGCCACATTTGAAAGCCGAGCCAACTGTAGGTCACTTCGTGGTCTTCGAATCCCCAAGAACTCCATTCCCGGGCCACATTTTGATGCCCGAGCCAACTGTAGGCACTTCGTGCTCTTCGAGTTCCCAGAACTCCATTCCCGGGCCACATTTTGAATGCCCCGATCCCAACTGTAGGCCACTTCGTGCTCTTCGAGTTCCCAGAACTCCATTCCCGGCCACATTTTGGATGCCCGGAGCCAACTGTAGGCCACTTCGTGCTCTTCGAGTTCCCAGAACTCCATTCCCGGGCCACATTTTGAATGCCCGTAGCCAACTGTAGGCAACTTCGTGCTCTTCGACTTCCCAGAACTCCTTTTTTCCTGGGCCACATTTTGAATGCTGAGGAGCTGATGCTGCGGACGAGCAGGCTGGGGGAGGCAGGCTGAGGCTGAGGGAGGCTGAGAAGGCTGACGCAGGCTGAGGCTGAGGCAGGCTGAGGCTGAGGCTGAGGCAGGCTGAGGCTGAGGCAGGCTGAGACTGCTGAGGCAGGCTGAGGCTGAGGCTGAGGCTGATGCAGGCTGAGGCTGAGGCAGGCTGAGGCTGAGGCCGAGGCTGAAGGCAGACTGAGGCTGAGGCTGAAGCAGGCTGAGGCTGAGGCTGAGGCTGAGGCAGGCTGAGGCTGAGGCAGGTTAAGCAGGCTGAGGTGAGGCTGTGACTGCGACTGCCGTTGCCGATGCGACTGTCATCGCGAATGCGACTACGACTGCGAGAACAGCAGAATTCTACAACTGGATTTTCATCTGAATCTTAAGGGGAATGCTTTCAGATATGCTTCTACACATCGCTGTTAGGTTGCTTTGCCGGGATATTTTTTTTCAGTGTTTTTTGGTGTTTTTTCGAGTTCCAGCCTCGTCGGTTTCCCGGCGCTCCAAGACGGCCCAAGAGGCCCCGACACACAACGGCGCACCGGGTCCAGGCGCCCGGGGCCGGCGCCGCTACCGCAAATGGGCTCTGGGGCCCTCGGGGAGCCCCGGGGCTTCACAGAAAGCCGCCAGAAGGCGCCAAGGAGGCCCCAAGAGGCTCCAGAACAGACCCGGGGCGCCCGAAGGTCGCTCCCAGACGCCCAACATGGCCTCCAAGGCGGCTTCAAAAGCCCTTGCAAGACACCCCCAAGCGACCCCCAATAGGGCCCCAAACAGAGCCCCAAGGGGCCAAAATAGACCCATTCCCTTTTGTAAAATGTATATTTTTAACATATTGTTTGTTTTCGCATTCGGTCCGTGCTTGACGACCTCAGAAGCTCCCAAGACCGCCCCAATACATCCCAGGACGCGCCCCAGAGGGCCCCAATACAGCCCCAGAAAGCTCCAGGACGGCCCACGAAGGGCCCAAGACGGCCCAAGAGAGTCCCCAAGACGGGCCCGAGAGGGCCCCAGAGGAGGAAAGCCACCATCGAATTCCAAGCTTTCGACCCCAAGTGGCTCCAGGAGGCGCCGAGAAGCCCCCAAGAAACGCCCGGAAAGCTCCCAAAAGCACCCCAAGACGCTCCAAAAGGCACCCCAAGAGAGCTCCAAGAAACACAAATCGTCCCATTCCTGTGGGGAAACGTATATTTTTCGTGTGTTCGCCTGTTGGGCTGTCATCGCGCCCAAGACGGCCCAAGGGGTTCCCAAGACGGCATATACGGCGCACGGGGTCCGGGGGCCCGGGGCCGCGACCACGACCACAAATGTGTGTGCCCAGTCTCTTGGGGCGTCCCTGAGGCCTTCAAAACGCCCCGGGAACGCGCCAAGAGAACCCGAAGACGCCCCAAGACGGACCCAAGACACCCAAAGGCCGCTCCAAGATGCCCAAGATGGCCCCCAAGACACCTCCAAAGGCCTCGCAAACGCTCCTAAGCAGCTTCCGAGAGGCCCCCCAGGACGTCCCCAAGAGGCAAAGATTGCTTCATTCCCTTTTCAAACGTGTATGTTTAGCATATTATTGTTTTCGCTGTCGTACCGTTCTTGATGACATCAGAGGTCCCCAAGACCGCCCCAAGACGGCCCAAGAGGCGCCCCCGAGGGCCCCAAGACGGCCCAAAAGAGCCCCAGGACGGCCCAAGAGGCGCCCCAGACGGCCCAAACGGGGCCCCAAAGGCGCCCAAGAGAAGCCCAAGATTGGGAAATCCAAGCGACAATTTGAGCTTTCCGCCAAAAGAGGCGCCCGGGAGGCCCCAAGAGGCCCCGACGACGCCCCAAGATGCCTCCAAGAGGCCACCCAGACGCCGCAAGAAGGCCCCACGAGGACCCCCGAGAGAGCCCTGAGAGCCGAACAATGTTTATGTTCCGTAGATGCTCGAAGGATTTTGGTCATCTCGCCTTCTCGGGTTCCCGACGCTCGAAAACAGCCCAAGAGGCCCCCAAGATCGACCCGAGGAAGCCAGATTGATTTTGTCTCAGGCTGGCAGCCACGTCTGCCGGCGTGCCCTGCACCACCCTCCGTTGCAGGTGTTCATCCCAGGTCAAGTCCTGGGTTCAGAATGCGTCGAGGTTCAGTTTCATTGCTGGCGTTCGAATGTTCAGAAAGGGAATTGGTCGGCGCCTCAGTATGTGTGCCGTTCGCGCCAAGGCGCGTCAGGCTGCAATGCTGGCTTGCAGGTGACGTCCGCCTGCGGTCAGCCCAGTGAATTCGATGTATTTCTTTACTTTCAAGAGCTGGTCGCTCCACCTTGCGCGCACCTTTGGGCCCCACGAGGGACTCCAGAACGGAAGCCCGAACCGACCATTCGAGCTTTCTGCCCCAAGAAGCCCCGAAAAAACCCGGAAGAGGCCCACAAGACGCCACAAGAAGGCTCCAGGAGGACTCCCAACATAGCCCCGAGAGCCCAAATTCGTTGATTTTCTATGTGTCTTTTGAAGGACTTCGCCCTTCTGGCCTTGTCGGCTTCCCCAATCTCCATGCCGGCTCAAGGGGTCAACAAGACCACCCCGAAACAGCCCGAGAAGCCCCCAAGAGAAGCCCAAATACGGCCAGGAGGGCCCCAAGACGGCCTACGAGCCGCCTCAGACGGCCCAGGAGGGCCCCAACACGGCCCCAAGAGAGGCCCAATATGGGGGAGCCCGAACCGACAATTGGAGCCTTCCACTTCAAGAGGCCTCCCAGGAGGGCCCAATATATTTCCAAGAGGCCCCGAGAGGCCCCAGGACGGCCGATGACGTTCGACGTACGCCGTACGACGAGATCCTCGCGGTTTGGTTGAAGTCCCTCAAGGAGCATCAGAAGAGGCAGTCGTCAGGTGGACCCTGGAGAGTCCTTCCGTAGCCGATGTCGGTTGAACTGTTCCTCCTCCCCTCCTGCTCCCCCTTCTCCTCCTCCCCCTCCTCCTCCGCCTCCCCTCTCGCTCCCATCGCCTTCTGTTCCTGCCCCTGCTGCGCTTACTCGTTTGGACCCAGGGAGGGGTCTAGGGATCCGCTACAGGAGACGGACGACGACGACGACGACGACGACGACGACGACGACGACGACGACGACGACATGACGACGACGACGACGACGACGACGATGACGACGACGACGACGACGACGACGACGACGACGACGACGACGACGACGACGACGACGGCACGCCTCACCAGGCTCCTCAAGACGCCCCCAAACCCGTGCTCCCAGAAGGCCTTCTGGGAACCCGATTCATACGGCTTCCGCCCCCCTAGACAACCATTTCTTCGAAGGCCTTTCGGAATGCAGATTGGCATGCGTGGACTGTGGTCCACTACTTCAGTGGAGCAGTGAATTCGTCAAGGCCTGGGGTCTGCTAGAACCTGAACGCGCGCGAAGCGCGCGCGATGGTTCTAGTGTAATGTAAGGTATGTATGTATGTATGTATGTATGTATGTATGTATGTATGTATGTATGTATGTATGTATGTATGTATATATGTATGTATGTATGTATGTATGTATGTATGTATGTATGTATGTATGTATGTATGTAGGTATCTATGTATGTACGTATGTACGTACATACGTACGTACGTACGTACGCATGCATGCATGCATGCATGCATGCATGTATGTATGTATGTATGTATGTGTGCATATATATATATACATATATTTACATAAAATGGGCCGGGGGTCCTGGGCTCCCCGAAGTGCACTGATTTGTCTTCTTGCCGTTTCGGGCCCGGCGGGGGGCGCTTAAACACGTCAAAGGGGGCAGAGAGACGTCCAAGAGGGCGCCTTGATGGCCCAAGAGCGCTCCAAGAGAGCCCAAGACCGCACAAGAGCGTTCCAACATTGGTCCAACATGGCTTTGAAGGCAGTCCAAGAGGGCTTCAAGATGGCCAAGATGCCTTCAAAAGGGCTCCCACGAGGCACTCAGGAGGCGAAACAAGTAGGTGTCCTCAATGGTTTTTGAAGGTTGTTCGTGTTCTCGCTGTTTCGTGCTTCCCACGGTCCAAGACAGCCCATGAGGCCCCCGAAACCAGCTCAAGACGACCCAACAGGCCCCCCAGAGAGGGCGCCACGACGGCGCAATAGAGAGCCCCAAGACGGCCCGAAGAGTGCCCCAAGGCGGCCCCAGAGGCGCCCAAGATCGCCCCAAGAGGGCCCCAAGAGGGGGAACACGAACCGACACTTCGAGCCTTCCGCCCCACTAGGCCTCCAGAAGGCCCCAAGAGGCCCCCAAGAGAGCCCAAGAGGCCCCCTAGAGGCTCCACGAGGCCCCACAGGAGCCCCAAAAGATGCCCCACGACCATCCGTAGCCATTTTGGCTCAAGGTGGCTCTGACTGCAGCGCGCAAGCGCTCATCATAGTTGCCCATCACCATGCGGACCCCGCGACCAGGCCCCTGGGGCCCGAGGCTGTTTACTTTTCCAAAACTCCCCAAACTCCCCCCTCCCCCCGCGGTGCCCACCGTGTCCCTCGGAGTCCTTTGGGGGGTTTTCGGAGGGCCCGAAGGCGCTCCCCAGACGGTTCAGGAGGCTTCCGAGACGGTCCAAGAGTGCGCCAAGACGCCCAAGATGGCTTCAGAACGGCCCGAGAGGCCCCCCAAGCGCTTGAAGAGGGTTCCAAGAGGACACTTATGAGGGCCACAAGGAAAACACATCGCCCTAATTCCTCGTGGAAGCTTCGATTTTTGGCATATGCGTAATCTTATTAATAGCGTCCACGACGGCCTCAGAGAACCCCAAGAGCGCCGCAAGACATCCCAAGAATGCCTCCAAGACGGCCCAAGAAGCTCCCAGGATCGCCCCAAGCCATCCCACAGAGCCGTCCAAGACGACCTCCGTGGGCGCCTGTGGATCCCAGAGCGCTCTGAGACAGTCCAAGAGGCCCACAAAACACCTCACTCCGCACCCCTCCCCGCTCCTCTCAGATCGTTCCCATTCCTCCCCATCCCTCCTCGCTCCAGGCAAGTGTGCGCGAGGCGGTTGCGTCCCTGGCCGCGAGATCCTGCCAGTGCATACCTACATGTACGACCACCCTTCGGGTGATATGGAGGTTGTGTGTGTGTGTGGTGGTGGGGGGGAGGAAGGGGGACCAACTGGAGCCACAACACAGCATTGCATCGCACAGCAGAGCATAGCATAGCATCGCACAGCATCGCACAGCACAGCATAGACGAACATCGCGTAGCATAGCATAGCATCGCATAGCATGTCATAGCATCGCATCGCATCGCATATAATAGCATATCATCGCATGGCGTAGCGTAGCATAGCATAGCATCGCATCGCACAGCATAGTATCGCATCGCATCACACCGCATAGTTTAGCATCGCATTGATAACATAGCGTAGCATTGTACAGCATGGCATAGCACAGCACAGCAGAGCATCGCATAGCACCAGCCACGGCGGGACACCGCGGGACACCCCCAGGCCACCGCCGGCCAACCGGGAGGGACACCACGGGACACCGCGGGACACCCCCGGTCCACCGTTGGCCAACCGGGGGGCACAGCAAGATTTGGCCCGGTCTTGCCTTAAGCATAGATGGTTCTTTCCTTTCGCCTTCCGACGCAGCTTCGCCGCGCCCACATGCGCGACACGAACACGAAACCGAAAACGATTTCCTGGCGAGGGGGCCCCTGTTCACGTCGATCTCTTTCCCAACCTCGGATTCTGTCACACCACGCGACACCGCGGGACACCCCTAGGCAACCATTGGCCAACTGGAGGGCGCAGCAAAATTTTGTTCGGTTTTACCTAAGCACGGTGGGTTCATTCCTCTCGCCCGCCGACGCAGCTTCGCCTCACCCACACGCACGACACGAAACCGAAAACGATTTCTAGGCGGGGGGATTCTTGTTCACCTCGATCTCTTTCACAACCTCGGATTCAATCTGCTTGCTGCGGAGACAATCGTTTGTTTCGCTCCGCCTGGCCCCTCCTCCCCCCCCCCTTCCCAGGGCTCGAGGACGGCCCAACACACACACACTCACACTCACACTCACACTCACACTCACACTCACACTCACACTCACACTCACACTCACACTCACACACTCACACTCACACTCACACTCACACTCACACTAACACTCACACTCACATTCACACTCACACTCACACTCACACTCACACTCACACTCACACTCACACTCACACTCACACTCACACTCACACTCACACTCACACTCACACTCACACTCGCACTCACACTCACACTCGCACTCACACGCACACGCACACGCACACGCACACGCACACGCACACGCACACGCACACTCACACTCACACTCACACTCACACTCACACTCACACTCACACTCACACTCACACTCACACTCACACTCACACTCACACTCACACTCATCACACTCACACTCACACTCACACTCGCACTCGCACTCACACTCCACTCACACTCACACCTCACACTCACACTTACACACCTCACACCTTCGCACCGTCACCACTCACACTCACCACACACACTCACGAAGAAAACTCACACTCACACACTGCACCACTCACACTCACACTCACACTCACGTCTCACACCCACACCCAACTCACACTGCGACACTCACACTCACACTCGCACTCACACTCAACGCACACTCACACTTGCACACCACACTCACAGTCACACTCTCCTCACACTCCACCACGTCCAACTCAACCTCACCACTCACACTCACCATCACACTCAACACTCACACTCACACTCACAACTTCACACTCACTACCGTTAATCACACTCGCACTCACACGCACACTCACACTCACACTCACAGCTCACCCTCACACTCACATCAGCACTCACACTCACACTCAACATCACACTGCACACACTCACACTTCACAATCCACACTCACACTCACACTCACACTCACACTCACACGCACACTCACACTCACCCTCACACTC